CCAAAAAAAAAAAAAAAAAAAAGAAGAAAGAAAAAAACCAAACCTCAAACCACCCAAAAATCCTACGTCTTCATCCGCCAGCTCCGTGCAGCAATGCCAGGCTGGAGCTGCCGGAGGGGAGCTATGTGCAGCAGGAGGTTTCTCAGCACATATGTCTATTTTAAAAGCCTGTGGTGTGATCTCTTGCCCTACTTTCCAGACTCTTGCCGGTACTTTCCTTTCGTGCAGCGGCCGAGTCCTGCTGGCGGGAGCTCCCCGGGAAGCCAGAGCTGAGCGAGCCGCTGGGCTCTCCCCTCTGGCGGGAGGCTGGAATGGGGGGACAGGGCAGTGGGGTTGGGGTCGAGACAGCGGCTTGGTCACTAACGTGCTGCCTTTCTCTCCAGCAGAGAGAAGGTCCCCAGCGCCGTGCGGATGAGACCAGGTTGAGAAGAGGACAGCACGTTTGTACCCAGCACCCCAATTAGCTTCATTTGCTCCCCTCCATTTTCCCTGGTGATGAAAAGGCTCCCTACCCACACCTGAGCCAATCCTGCCGAGCCCCGAGGCATCGGTGTGGCTCTGCAGCGATTTTGGGACTGGAAGGGTCAGGAGCCACTCTCCAACGCGGAGATTTTCCAATGCCGAGATTTTTATTCTGAGTGTGCAGAGAAAGGAACGCTCCCCTACCCCGCTGCATCGCCCCAGCCCAGCCATACCTGCCCCGTGAGGACACCCCAGGCCCCCGATGCCCAGTGGGATTTGGGCAGCGTGACCCACACCACGCCATCGCCATGGCCTCCTCGGACGGGCTGCAGTACCGGGCTCTCTACGAGTACCAGAAGGACCGGGAGGAGGACCTGGCGCTGTGCCCTGGGGACGTGCTGACGGTCAGCAGGGCCGGGCTGCTCAGCAGCCCCGACTACAAGGACGGGGACGAGCGCAGCCCCCAGGGTTGGCTCCACGGCCTCAACGAGCGCACCAAGGAACGCGGTGACTTCCCCGGCACCTACGTGGAATACCTGGGTCCTGCGCGTGTCGTCACCACCACCGCCAAGGCCAGGCCACGGCCCTTGCCCCCGCCGCCCGCTGGGACCCCCACACCCTGGGGTGAGTGCTGAGGGCATGGGAAGGGGGTAGCCCATGGGTGGGTGTTCCCTGCAAGATGGCGAGGGTGGTGTGGAGCCTGGGTGGATGCTTGCATTTGGGGTGTCTTCATGGGGGTCCACCGGGATGGGGGTCCAGCCCCAGGAGGAGGATCTGCCCCAGGAATTATTCACCCTGGTGCATTGAGGCAGCCGCAGGTGGGGCATGGGATGCCCAGGGTACCACTCCCCCCAAGGCAAACATGCTGCAGGGATTGCTCCTCGCCAGCATCCCGGGCTGACTGTTGTGCTGGCATGGTGTGTCCAAGGGGATCTGTGCCTGTGAGAGCATGGAAGAAGATGCAGGAGCCCTTTGGCCCCACAGAGGGTAGCAGAAAACCCCATGGTGGTCCCCGGGGATGTTTTTTTTCCAACTGCTCTTCTCCCTACCACTGCGGCACCCAATTCCAGCTGCTCTCAGTGCCCGGGCAAGCGCTGGCCCCCGGCCAGCTCATGGTCTCAGTGTCACTTTGTGCAAGCTGGGATGGGGGACGATCTTGGAAGGTGGTGGAGTTGGTCCCTGGGGGGCTTCTCCATCCCCAGGGGATTCAGCGCAGGGCTGGGGGGGATATTCAGCAGAGCTCTTCCTGGCACGGGGGCCTCCAGCCATTTCTCTGCTGGGATCTGCCAAGCTCATGCAGCCGGCTCTGCCCTCGCCACTTACCATGGCCAAGTGCGTTGGGGCTGGGAGGGACTTCACAGCAGTTGCATAATATACCCAAGCTAAAAAAAAAAAAAAAAAGATGCAAAGTAAGAAACCCTCTTCCAGCTAGGCACGACCCAGAGACGCTGGGAAAAGCCATGGGTGCTCTCCTCTGGGATGTGATGGAGGAGAAATGGCTGTCCGTGTGGGCCTGGGGCTGGGAGAGTGGCACCGCCTTTAGCCGCTGCTGCCCAAAACTGCCTGGCTGCCAGCCCGGTGCCTTTGGCACACTCCTCACCCAGTTTGGGACCAAGGCACAGATGTGGTAACTGGAGAAGCTGTTTCCCTCCTGGGCTGGCTAAGCATTGGACATACCTCAGTCCTGGGATTAGAGGAGCCCCCACTGATGAGGAATCTGTCTCCCTCCAAAATATGGTTCAAGGCCCCCTTACCACTGTGATTTAAGAGGGCAGGGACCACCTGGCCCCTGGCTGAGCACAGGAGGACTCAGCTGGTGTGGGGCAACTCCTTCCCCCAACACCATGCACTGCTGCGTGTTGCCATGCAGATCCTACCGCTCAGCCCCCCAGCAGCATGAGAAGGATGCTGGGACCCCCTTCTGCCGCCCCTCTTCCAAAGATGTTGCTCCCCAGCCAATGCTCTGAGTGCACCCAGGCAGCCACAGGCCCGGCAGCACTGGTGAGGATCAGTGAGCAGCTATGTGCTGCCTTTGCAGGAGGGAGGAGACCATTTTTTGGGGGTGCTTACCCTGTCAGACAAGGGCTTTGAGCCCCCTTCCCAGTCAAACTCACCAGTGTGTGAGGAGCCCTCTGCCCTTGGCTGTTTGGCAGGCAGAGCCCTAGCAAACTCAGTGCTGTAGTGGGGACAACTCAGATCAGAAAGGAGAAGACCCAAGGGCTCTCCAGCCCCTTCACGAGGGAGAAGCGTGAACCCATCTTCTTTTTTCTGCCCTTGCTGCCCATCACCATTGCCTCATGCCTGCCCCACGCAGAGGGTGGTATGGGCTCCTCTCCGAGGGGCTGGGAGATGCACCCAGGGACCCCTGCCCGCAAGTTTGGGAACATGGCGACACCCCACAGATTGAGGCATCCCCAGCAGCAAGCACAGCCTGGCTGGAGAGCCTGGCCCATGTGGAAGGTCTCAGCGTAGGATCCCCAGCCCTGCTTGTGCTTGCGTGAGAGGATAACAACTTAAAATTAAAAAACAAAAAAAAGTAAAACTGAGATTTTTTTTTTCTTAATAGGGAAAAACCCACGAAAACCACGTTTTGGGGGTAGACTGGGGAGGGTGCTGCCATCTGCAGGACATGGTCTGGCCATGGCCTTGTGGCCAGCACTACTGTCCAGGGGGACGCTGGGTGATGCCTCCCCAGTCCTGTGTAGTGGGGTCCTCCTCCGTGGGGTGGCTTTCCTGGGGCGATGCCGGGGTGTGTGGGTGCCTCAGCAGGGGACACTGGTGGTCCATGACCACGTTTTTCTGCAGCAGCAGAGCAGCATGTATTGTTTTATGTCGGTTTAAACGGAAACCTCCCAGTTGGTGGGATTTCCTTTAGAGTAAAAAATTTCCAACATGCTCTTGAAAGAGAAGGGACATTAAAAAAAAAAAAAAATTCTTCCCGTGCTGTGTTCATTTCCAGATGAAGGTTTAAGGGACATTTTCTTTGGCTGGCCCAAATGCTTATTTTTCTGTGACAGTGGTGTACTGCCCTGCATGCCCTCAGTGGCCACTGAGCCCCGATGCTGGCTGGGAACCCCAGGCACCCCGAGCAGGGTGAAGCCCTTGGGATACTCCTGAATTGGAGAGAGACACTGCATTTCCCAGCCACGTGTCAGAGCGAGGGCTGGCTCTGCGGGTACGAATGGCCTTTTTTTTTTAATGAAATAATACCCTAAAAATGGTTCCACAGTGGATCTGAGTCCCCAGGGGACCACCCAGGAGTTCAGCAGCTGGTTTGCCCCTGCCTGGTTGTCCTGGGTGGGCAGCATCACTGCTGCAAGGCATCACCTCCACTTTACCTGGGGTCAGAGCCAAGCAGTGTGTCAGGATGCTGGGGTCCAGCCCGGCACCCTGAAGGCAGATAATGGGCTAAAGCTCCAACCTCAGCTTGGAGCTATTCCTGCTGTTTCCAACAAGGAGAAACAGACAGTTATTTTTCACCATTACCACCTTTACCCAAGCCATTGCCTTGGAGGCCAAAACCCAGTTTTCCCTAATTAAAAAAATGACCCATGTGGTGGGGAGATTTTCCATGGGCTCCCACTCACCTGCTTTGCTGTAAACCCTGAAATCTTCACCATTCCCACTCAACGCACCCACACATCTCCATTGGGCAGTGGAGAGGACCCTGTTACCAGGCTCAGGGTTCTCAGCTATGCCTGGGGACCAGATCAGCCCCCTATGAGCAGGAGGTTTGTATCCCTCCCTGCTCTTCAGGGAGCACCAGGGCATCACCGTGGCAAAGATAAGAGTCTACATCCACCTGTTACAGCCAGGTTGTTTTTGCAAAAGGTCAAAGGTAGTGCGGCCTCATTATGGCCCTGTCCACAGCCCCATTGTTTTTTTCTTTTTCACTCCATAAAATCATTATGGGTTTATCTGCTTCACATGTGAGCTCCCTGCCTTCCACCAGGCAGCGAAAACCAATGACAGAATGAACCTTATGCTGGAGTTGACCAGGATGGAGTGCACCTCACTGGGAAGAAGTCACACTTAGGCTTTATGTAATTTGCTGTAATTTTAAAAAATAGATTTACACCAGAACAGATCCACTCACCACATAAAACAGGCAGAAAAGCTCTCGACACATCAGCCTTTCCAGATGCCATCTGCACCCCAGCAGTCACACACAGTTCTGATGTGCTGCGGCTGGTGGTAGCCCCTGACTGTCCCCTGCCCCTGCCTGTCCACTGCCTTCCCAGGGAAGGGTTCTAGACTAACGAGGGAGTGTGGGAGGAAATCCCAGTGCTGTCAGGGTCTCTGTCAGGTATAACCCACATAGATGGAGGGGTTTATCAGCCGAGGTGATAAGGAGGGAGGGAGGGAAGGATGGATGGAGTGAGCATTCCCTGGGGTAAGGAGAGCGTCTCTCCCCTGTCAGGGGGTTTGATCTTCTCTGGCAGAGTCTGGGGTGAGGTGTCCTTGTTATAAAACCCAGGACCCAGCAGCACCTGGGGATTTGTGCTGTTGGAAGCCTGGCCCATGTTTGGCTGAAGGGCTCCTCAAGGGCTGGGGGTGGCTGAGTCCTCCCTGGGCTCATACTCAGCCCTGTTGTAGACACCAGAAATTCCAAGTGGGTGAGAGCTGCAGGGAGCCATGTCCATGCCGGGTACAGACTTCCCCTCCAGATCCTGCCTGGTGCCACGCACTAAGGGCTGTGGGTGATGAGAGGAGCCAGTGTCAGTGCCATGGGAGAAGTGGGGAAGGGATTTTGGCTTGAAGGGTCTCCATGCTCAGGGTGGGATGCTCCCCGGGGGCAGGGCACATTCCCGAGCACATCTTTGCATCTCAGCAAGCAGCTGAGCCCCCAACGGTGACTCTTACTGCAAAAAGAGGATGAAATAAGAGAGAAGTTCTCCAAAATTGGACACGCATGAGCTGAAGTGTTGGTTGTGGCTGTGCCAAAGCAGCAGCTTGATCCTGTCCTGAAGCAGACGACAAAAGAGACTGGAATTGCTGCAGGCAAGAATTTCCAAGCCCCTTCTTCCAATCTTTCCATCACAGGGCTCCCTGGGCAGGCAGAGCTCACCGAGCACCCCACTCTCCCTGAGCAGGCACTGCCGACTGTGGCCAGGCTCATCGAGGCTCTGGAAAAACAAGGTATGGGCAGCCACGGCATCTGTCTGCAGGGCGTATGTGGGTGCACACGCGACCACCCGCTCTGCTTGTGTTTGGAGATGCCCTGAGAGCATCACTAGAGCCAAAGCTCTCCCCACGCACCCCAGTACCCATGCAGTGTGGGCAGGGTGAGGGAGCTTGGCGGTCTCGGTCGCTGCCTGCTTCCGTTGCGTTGGAGGGGAGGATGTGGGCCTCAGGACTGACCCCTCTCTCCTGGCTGCTCCCCAGGTCTTGACAGCGAGGTGCTCTACAGATCCACTCCCGGAGGGCTGGGGGATGCTGAGCTGAAGCAGGCTCTTCTGGCGGGTAAGTCCCAGAACCACATCCCTCCCCATGTCCCTGGCAGGAAGGGGGCCGTGGAGGTGATGCTTCCAGGTGAGTGATACTGTGCAGGCACAGTGGGGATGGGTTACTGGTTCTGACCTTGTTATGGCCCTAATTACAGCTCTGTAAGGCCCTGCCTGCATGTGAGCCCCCCCCCCCACTCCCCCAATATCCCAGTGTGATGCTGCCAAGAGGGATGCAGGTGTGGGGCTAGATCTCTTCACTAGAAGCTCTATTTTTGTTAGGGAGAAAAATATTTTATTTTGCAAACCTTTAGGGTTTCTATTTGAGAAGTGGGGCAGGGAGAAAGCCTCTTGTGGGTGCAATAGGGAAAAGAAAGGAAGAATAAAAAGTTCATTTATTAGGACAATGAGGAGCGTTTTTCAAGGGGGGG